AAGACTTATGGCGGTTTTTTTACCAAGTTCGGGTAAAAGATCACGTATCAGGAACAGAACACAAGTTATCTCCTCAGATGGTTTCCTCTTACCCCTTTTAATTAGTGGTGTGCTAAATGAAATACTATTCGAGTTCAACGGAAGAAGAGTGAGACTAGTCATGTGCAGACGCGATGAGAGTGTCTGCGTTGTCTATCTCTACAATTATAGAAATTGTTAAGAGAGAGCTCTACAAATATAAAATTCAATACAACAAAACTACGCTGATGCTGTTCACAAAATAAAAAAAAAGAAATTTTTTTCCTTCAATCCACAATATTATTCCTCATTTCTTTAGCTATTGAATTTTGTACTAATATGGAAGCGAACCTACAAAACCGAACAATGAGGACAATGAGGCCTAAAGCGAATGTTGTAGTGTGAATGTATGTAATATACAAGTCGATACGATTTCAATCATTTAGTCCATATGAGGGCAACCATTGTATGTGAATTTAAATGAGGTCCAGAATGAACTTATGCTTGTTGACGTGCTATAGTTCATGGATCTAAATACCTCCTATAGTTCATGGATCTATATATCTTCGGACAGTCAAGAGGTGGTCTTATTACCACCAAAGTTAAACTCTAGCCTTATAACAGTTGTAAGATACGGGTTTTTAAGATACTAGGATCGTCAGTGGAATCCGAAACAAATTTTTGATGAGTCTAAAACGGGCTTAAAACCATGACCGTCGGAGAAGTCAGAAAAATAGTTCAATTACAATTTACATAAGCAATTTTTGAGCTGAATATAGCAGTTAAAAACTTGGAACCTCTTAAATAATACGAGGGGATTAACAATAGTTCTAAAAATACCAAATACTTTGCAATTTTTTCGTAAAGAACGAGACTCTGTAGCTCTGGTGAAGTCCGAAATTGCCGAAGACCCACGATTGACACTAGACATGATTGCTAATGAATTGGGCTTAAATTCCATAGCTATATCGTGAAATATTAACTGTCATCTCGGATACACGAAGAAATCTTCTCGATGGGCACCATGAGTTTTAAATGAGAATCAAAAAGAGGATCGGGTGTATTTTAATTTAATTTTTCTTAATGAAATAGGAAATTCGTTCAATGCCATATTCCCCGGATATATCATCTTGTGATTTTTGGTTACGTGCAAAAATTAAAACAAATTTAAAAGAAAAGGTATTTAATAACAACGATAAGATAATTAATATGGTTAATTCTGAGATTGATAAGCTTAAAAAGCAATATTTTGAAAAACATTTTTAGGAGTGGATCTATTGGCTTAAGAAATACAATACATTAAAATCAACGCCGACTATATAGAGAGGATAAAAATAATATGTAAAAATAATAGTATCTTCTTGGTCAACTTACCGTACTTTTGTTAATCCCTTCGTATGTAGACTTACTTATTTCTGGGAGCGTGTATATTAAGATCTACGCAGCAACTGCCTCTGAACAGCAGAAGGGAATAACTAAACAGTTTACAACTTTTCTATACAAGTGCCCATCTCTCCAAATTCGACGCAGAGTACTTGTAATATAACACATGAATATATAAAAATCATGCGCATCTTGCACCTACTTGGCTCAAGGATATCTCATTACAGGTAGAAAGCTGTTTCTTCTTGGTCGCCAGTCTAGGAGATGGTAAAACATGCCGTCTTATTAAGCAATGTTCCGTCAGTCTCCCAGCCACTTTTGGGAATATAAAAACTCGATTTTTGAGGCTTGTATGTGATGATGAGATAAAATTAATGAAGAAATGCGTTCTTTATTTGGAAGCACTTGCCTGATGATACCTAACCTTGCAAGTTCGTCTACCCCGCGATTTCTCTCAATGTTCCAGTGACCAGGGACCCAGAAAAGTATTTTTCTCTGTTCAGATATCTCCTGCAGAAAATGGAATTGTTAGGTGCAATGCCAGTAATCGTTTTAAATTTGTTTAGAGGCTTCGGTGGTTGCAGACATTTTTAACTCTTTAGTATTCCTAAGTATTCGCTTAGATGAAATCTCAGCTGTATAAATTCTTTTAAGAGAATATCAGATAACTATTTTATCTGATTTGCTGCCACTTCTACGTCTACGAAATATACAAACAAAGTATAAATTATTTTAACAAATCCAGAACAATTGAGCTCAATGATAACAATAAAATGTAGAAATAATTTAAAAACAGCATTTAACAAATATTTAACCAATTAAAGAATTAAAATTTCTTATTCTTCTTTATTTAATTACAGCATATAATTGCCAACGAAATATGAAGCCAAATGGTTTCCTACAATAAATAAACAACCGACACCAACACTTGTATCTTAGGCGCCATTATTCAACTCATTGCTGTTGTTATAAAACCGAGCAAAAATAGCAATAATATTTATTGACCGCAAAAGTACATACAACACAGAACAAACCAAGGGACCAAAGCAAAACTATTACACCAATAACAATAATATAACAAGTCAATCGAGCAATACGAGAAAAATAATATAAAAAAGTGAAAATAAAATAGAAAAATCGCTAATAAAAGAAATATGAAAAACGAACAATAAATGGCTGAGTAGCAGAATGAATGGATGAAAATCCGTTACACAAATGGTTGTAAGTTTATAAATGACAAGCAATTTTTCAGTGTGTTTGATACGGACAGCTGGTGTTGGTCGGCAACCATAAAAAATGTGCAGCAACAAAATCCAAACCAAACTAAATTGAAATGTAATTGAATAAAAATGAAAGTGAAACCATAAAAATAATGATTTAATTGAAGATTGAAATTTTAAGCTTGAATTCACAGAAGGAAGAAAAGTTAAATAAAGCCGACACACGTATATATGTGTATTATATCCAAAGAGCTTAAAGGGTACAAAGGGTACACACGGCGTATGAGTTATGTCCAAAAATAAAAAAAAACCAGCGCTAAGTGATAAATGATATAAAAGGACTTCTATTGAATTCAATTTACTTACCATAAAAGCCAAAAAACGCTGCGAATTAAGGCTCGAACGCTAAACTAACTACAATAACTGAATTTACAGCACAACAGGAACAGTTAATCAGCTGAACTTCTGAGCGGCTGAGTTGCTGAGCTGCTGGCGTTCAATTGGAGTTAATTTACGCATAACTGACGCGGTAAAGGAGGAATACATGTAAAAATAAAAGTGTAACTTTACAACAACAACAAAAGTATTACGGTCTCACCAAATGTAAAACCGGTCATGTGAATTGCAAATATTTGTGCGCTTGTGGCGCCACAAACTGAACCAACCAACACAATCAACCGACCTATCCAACCAACAACAACAATGCGCTGTTAAAACCAGCGCGAAATAGCCAAACTTTTCCGTATTTGTGTACAGCCGACCGAGTTTCATTCGAGTTGGACCGAAAAAGGAACAGCTAACAGGCATTTATGCGGTCGACTGCGAACTGCCAACTGCCAACTACCAACTGTCGACTGCGCTGCACGCGGCTCTGCCACGCGGCATTAACGCCCATTATTATTGAAATAAAAGGCTATCAACGCTTTGGTGTTAAGTAATTAAGTACCATAATTCCCTCGTTGTAAATTGCCATTGCGCACGGTATGTGGCAAAATCGCGCAAAATTGTTTGCACGAGCAAATATTAAATAATAAATAAAGCAAAAAAAAAAAAAAATACGTAATATAGTGAATGTGTGAAATAAGAACTAATGAAAAACGTGGAAAAAATAAAACTAAAAAAAATAAGTTTAACAAAAATAAAAATTAATAAACAAATTATTTTTATTAATTGTATAAAAATGGCGCGAAATTTGTATTTGTAGAGTTATTTAAAATTTGTGCTAAATTATTTGCGCGCACACACACGTACACGCATTCTCCATCAACGACAAAATATTTCAGCAAAATTTTTAACACAAGCGCTTAATTAAAATTTTGCAACAGCGCGGAAATTGGAGCAGAAAAAATACGACCGAAAAAGGAAAATACAAAAAAAGTACAACAGAGCAACCGGAAAAGCGCAGAGTGTGCAACAAATTGGGCAGCTGTATGATCAATAACCGCGGAAACTGAGAAGAATTTTCATGGTTGTGCTAAAAACTATGAGAAAGCAGATACACGTATAAACTAACATAAATGTCTATATGTTTGTTTGCATATGTAAAAGAGAAATTCTAAAAATGTAAAAATAAATGTCGGACTATACCAAATCTGAGTGATTGACGTGCCAGCGCCTAACAGAAAAATCGTTTAGAAAGTTAAGTGAAAAAATTGTGAAAAGTGAGAAAGAAATAAAAAAGAAATAATAAAAATTTAAAATCAAAGCTAGAAGCTTAAAATATCATAACATATGATATAAAAAAAAAAAGAAAGTAAACTAAAAAAAAAAAAAAATAAATTAGTTTATAAAAAAAAATTAAAAAATATAGTGCACTGTTTTAACATAAACAAAAGGTGTGTTAAAAATGTCAGATAAATTAAACGTAACGTGTCTGATATTAATGTTAATGAAATTTCAAAGAAAAAAAGTGAAATTTTTATTTTAGAGTATTAAAACAAAAAAAAATTTAAAGTAAGTAGAAAAAATTCTACGAACATATTATTTACGAATGAAATTAAAGTTAAAATAGCCAAAATAACTTTGAGAAAAAAATATATGTGTGAAATACACTAAAGAAAATAAAAAGAAAAATATTTAGATTCATTATAAAATTAAAATGATTCAATAAATACTTTTTAAAAAATTTATAATACACATACACTATAAACTAATAAAAAAATGTTTATTTTAGTACAAAACAAGTTGATTTAAAAAAAGGAATGCACAAAAAAATATTTAAAACAATAATAATTTAAATAATAAAAATTTACTTCATGAAGGCAACACAAGAAGTAGTTGTGTTAATTCAAAAATAAACAAGCATCGATTGGGCGCTGGAAAACCTGCAATAATAAATAATTATTATATTTTAATATTGGAAAATGAAAGATTGCGATATGAAATATAATAATTTCGAAAACTATTCAAATAAAGAATAAAGCAAAAAATTAATAAAAAAAAAAACTAAAAAATTTTTGATTTGTTTGTGCGGGAATCAAATCATAAAGCAAAAACTAAAGTACATTAAAAAAAGCTTCAAGGAAACTCAAATATTTGTGAACTCATAAAAGCGGAAATAGCTGCAATTTCGGTCAATAAAAGCTATCGGCATCAAAAGCAGCGCGCTATTAGCCAAATTGCACTCAAATGAAAAAAAACATAACAATTGAAACAAAACAAAAACCCTCACATAAATTGCCTGCGCGCTTAGAAGCTAGCCATAATATTTGTAGTCAAAAACGTGGTCACACGAATAAAAGGTGTAGAAAATGTGTTATTTATACTGTAGTTGTAGTTGTTATTGTACAACAGTGCGTCGAATTAGCGAACATTTCCTGGTTCGCGTGTGAAATTTTGGCAGCTTATAGTACCAACGGCTGTTGCACTCATCTCCCTGCCAACCCACTCCCCAATCTGCCCCTATCTCCTGCCGACTGGAGCTACGTATGGACAAGCCATCTGACGAATGGCCCACAGAGAAGTAGCCAAATGTTTGTGGATGCATGTAAATATCCATAGGTGAGCGGTAGCGGCAGCAAAAGTGGCAGAGTAACGGTACAGCCAGCTGAATATATAAACACAAACCGGAAACCGAAATGGTGATAGCTAAATAAAGCTGGTAAACGTGCAAATAACCGTATAAAGGCAACAAAACTAACAAGAATTGTGAAAAAGTGAAATATTACTGCAAAATAAAAACAACGAAAAAGTGACAAACAGACAGCGCTAGTTTACTGCAAAGCAAAAAAAGAACACCAAATATCGGCTCGTTCGTGTAAAGGAAATTGCAAAATTTGTTGTAACCACAAGCAAAAAAAAAAAGTCATTCGCACAAAAAACAAATCGAATTTCCACTTGCACAGAAAAAAGTGAAATTTCGAAATTTTTCGCATAGTCCAGTTGGCATATGCAAATCTGTGCAGGAAGAACCCACAAAAATAAGGCAAATTTTTTGTGAATTTGTGCGCAAATTTTAAATTTTTTCATATTGGACTTTTTTTAATTTACCAAGCAAACATTTTCGCATGTCGCATTCAATTTTTTTTTACACGTGAATTAGATTTTGCACTTCGTGGGTTATGAACAACGAATTTCGTATAAAAAATTGTGTGTTTATGTAGTGTGTGTATTTGAGTTAATATAACAGTGAACGTGTGTAGTTTGTGCCTCATATCATATACTCGAGCTCACTACACATATCATCTTTATCTGGAATTTCCCATATTGACGCAGACTGCAGCGCTTGCAAGTGCAAATTGTTCGCGACAATTTAGTTGTTACCGTCGTTACTGTTGCTGCGTATCAGAAGCAGCCCGTTTTTTGCCGTTGCAGTCGGGTGTTGAGTAATTAAGCTCACAGTCTGCTCATCAAGATGATCGCTTTCCTAACGCTGTTCTTCTATATGACAAGTAAGTGATGTTTTAATTATAATATATAGTTTTTCGTAAAATTTAGATGAAAAAAGCTCATAATTTTCTTTTGTACTTGTTTCATTCTTCTGACTTATTTCTTGATTTGGTAATTTGTGTTAGTTTCTTCCGCCCATTGTACGCCTTATGTCGTGTCCTTAATTGCATAGCCAAAGTTCCCTACCGCCGTAAGGAAGATTAATATTTTTCATTGACAAAGAGTCACTATAAGGAGATCGTTTAGTGTTGAAAGTAAAAAACTTTCAGTTAGAGAGAAAAAACTTGTCAGCTGATTACAAAATGTACAGTTTGTCGAGAAACAGTTTTTACACTGCAAAAAAAAAAACATTTGTGCAAAATGATTTCACAATATCTTTTCAGCAAATATTAGTAAAAAAATTTACAAAATCAATAATATTCGACGAAAAAACAAGAAAAGATCAGTTTACACATTTTTGACACTGGCAAGAACTGTTTAAACAATGTACTTAATCTAATTATTATTCTCAATTTATGTCTTATTAAAAAATATATTATTACCAATATAAATATTTTGTGTTACTCTCCTTAGCATCTGCTACATGCTGGGTTTTTGCATCAATCGGACTAGCTTTGGCAGGCCATATTCAAATGTAGTCTGGTGTATTGCAGATTTTAGGGCTTGTCGATTTGTAGGCTGACTTTTTGCCACTTTCGGCAATGGGGTTGGGATCGAGGCTCTGAGGGAGCATATCCATGACTTTACAGTACTTTTATAGTAGCCGTTTTCCCACATTAAGCTTCTTATGCTTGGAGTCATTGCCCTGACAGAATAAAAGATGGCTTGTTGTTGGAAAAAAGCCAAATTTCATTGCACTTGGCTTCAAATTTGCTTTCAAAATTTAGCAATACAGTACGAAATAAATTGTCTTACAAATCGTTTTGTAATATTTGCATTTTACTAAAACAAAATTATATTTTAAATAGTTTTAATATTAAACTGTATTTTTATAAAGCCGAAACTATTGTTTTTTATTTTTCAAGACCGTGTGCTGTTGGCGGGTGCATCGCTTATGTGTGATGCGTGATATTCATTTCCTCTCTTCGCTGTTGGCGCCAGCTGAAAATCACTCAGGTTACCCTCTTCTTGATCCTTTTAACGCAGTGCTCTTCTTCTGCTTTCACTGGCCGGTACTGCCTCAAATACTTTCGTAGCTGAGCATTTAAACGGACGACATGGCTTAGCAACCACGTCCGCTGTCTTTTCATAGACATTGATGGATGTCGACATCTTCAACGCTTCTGCACCATATAGTAGGACGGGAATAACTTAGAATATAGTTCGTCGAGAGAGCGGACAGCGCTTCTAGTGTTGTTCAGCGTCAGTTCACACATTTATATAAGTTAAAACGAGTAATGTCTAAATTAGGTTTTTATTATTTTAGATAATGTGTTATTAAGATCACTAAATTTAGCTTTAGTGCTGTCTTCAGTTAATAAATCCCGATCACATATAGTTTCTTAAGCACTGGCAAGAGCAGAGTCGTAAGAAACTCTTGGCGTAACTAGAGGATTTCTGGTTTCTACTAGTGCTTTAGTCGCGTTATCAACGAAAATGAGATCAATATTACCAGACGTTCGGCGATCACGGCACCTGGGTTCGTGCCAACATCCAAAAAGTTATAGAAAATAATTATAAATAAAATACTAAGTAAACTTTTCTAATTGAGGCCGCCGAAATGTCAGCCACTCCGAGTGTATTTCTGACATGAAATAAAGCTCCTCATAAAAAAGTATTGCCGTTCGGAGTCGGCTTAGTATAAACTGTAGGTCCCTCCTTTTGTTTGAAAAACAACAAGACGAAGAACTTCAAATTGGAGCAGGTGCGTATCGCAGTACAACTAAATATGTTTACCCTCTTCCAAACTGTACTCGAACACACTTAAATTCAACAGATTCGGAGAAAGTAAAACTAATTTTCCCAAATAAGAAAAAATTCACCTCCCATTCTATTTTCCCGATATATTGTGAGAATTTCATAATTGTTTGAATTAAAAACCTGAGATTTACTCGTAAGTAAAGTATCAACAAAAAAAAAAAAGTCTTCAAAACTATTATGAATCAAACTAGTTAGTTACGTATTAGAACCAAGCAACATTTCGGCAGTAAAAAATATAAAAAATTTGCACTTTAAATGTTTGGGGAACACGGGATAGTCAGAATAAGCTGTTAAGCATCTCTTCAAAGTGTTCCTGGTAATTTTGATAGAGGAAATATATTTTCATATGTAAAAGTTATTTTGTAATGATTTCGATGAGGAAATATAATAATTTACACCATCAGCGGATTTACCTTCAGCAAGTCTGGAGGCAAAAACGAAGTTCATTACAGCCACAACAACAAGTTTCCCCGATTTAAACTCACATAGCGTTTGTAGTGGGGGTTAAGATGACTGTTTAGGTTTCCGATGAAGGCTTAGTCTTACCATTTGAAATGGTTAGAGATATTGAAAGATATAAACCGTTCTGGACTGCTATTATCAAAAGCAGATTCTGAAATTTTGGTGTAACATATGCAAAACTAAAACTAAAAATTAAAAATGATTTAAATATAAAAATATATATATAGAACATATATGACACTCAACAAACAGAACGCAAACAGTTGTGATAACATAAGTGAATAAAACCATACCAGCAAAAAAAAATTAATATGCAAAATAACAACAACTGCAAATAAATAACTAATGACTCGCTTAGGATTAAAATAGATAAAAGTTTAAATTCAATTACGGCAAGTGTTAAAAAATATTAGAAATGAATTAATGCTCTTAAAAATATTCATAAACACTCATAAGCAAGTATTTTTACTTAAAAAAACATAATCAAATAAAAATTTTAATTAAGCATAGAGTATTTCCAGGGATTTTTGTTGCTTAAATCAGGATATAGATTTTAGTTTACACAACATCAAAAGATAAACTAAAAGTTAATATGTGTAGTGTACATTATTACTTCTATTTTAATTAAAGGATGAGATGTCTGTTAAAGACTTTGCCATCTGACTCATCGCAATGATTGCATTGTTAAAAAATGTTTGTAAGAATTTTAGATCTTAAATACCCTAATTCCTATTTTCATCATATGCCAAAAACACTCCTCAGAAATGTGGAATTGAATCGAGGTTTGAATGAACAGCTGTCAGATAAACCCGATATAAGTTTTTCCAAAATGTCTGTTATTTTTGAGATTTCAGGGAAAGAATCACTGCAGTTAATAAAAGCGGAGATAAAAATCATTGATATAATCGTTTTTTTTCAAAAATTAAAAAAATATCGGCTGCCTGATTTGATGGCATCTGAGCTAGAAGTTAAGTCGGAATCAAAATTGCTGATCCAAAGTGAACACTGTTTAAGAAAACCAATAATATTTTCCAAATTATGTTAAATTGATTTTTAGTATTTTTTATGGAGAATCTTTCCACAATTTCATGCAGCCAGTATGGAATTGTTTAAAATAAAAAACAATAGTGAATTTCGAAAATTAAGATATTTTTTTGTGCACTTGGCAAATTCTTTAACTCACTGTAAATATTTATTAAAATTTTAATATTTGTATGTTTTCATATTTTATCATGTGCTCACCGCATGTACACATTTACGCATGTGTTTTGTACAAATTTTGTCATATCATCATGTTTCTATCAGTAGCATTAGATAACGGTATTCAATATAAATTGCCATATTCACACAAGCGCACAGCCAGCCATAGCTGAATACATATGAACATTCATTCCTTTTAATGCCACCATTGTTGTTGTTATCTCCTTTATTGTTCTTGCTATTGTTGGCGCTGTTGCTTCTGTTTTTGTCATTGACTTGTCTCTCATGCTGTATTACTTACTTTGGAATGTAGAATGATTCTTTGAAAAGCTCCATAATTTCACTGTACTCGTTTTAGTATTTACACACACACACACACATACAATCATACATGCACACAAGCACGCTGTATAAACAAACAAATACATTTACTTTATAAGCACAACGGTTGTCGTACTCCTTTGTGCCCTCTCATGCTCACATGCGTTGAGCTGAGTGACTCGTCTATTGTTTGAATTTCTGTTGCTCCTCGATTCTGTCTATGCCATTCTTCTGTTTGTCTATTGTGAGTGAGCATAATTTTCACATTTACCTGTTACTGCTACGTTCTTACACATAGACGCGCTAGCAGCTAGCAAGGATATATATATATATTTGTGTGTGCTCTCGAATGAGATTTTATGTATTCATTCATGCATAATTACAAACATACAAATATAATCGTAAGTATATAGAAGTTTATCTTTATGCAGACTGACTGACTGCAGCAACAGAAACTTCCTCATTAAATTTGCTTTGCTTTGCTTTACTTTAGACTCCTCGATGCATTGCCTTGATTTTCCGTCTTTCGTTTTTTGTTAGTTGGCACTTATCAGTAGCTGTGTAATTATGCATTCATATAACATACACACACGTATTCATGTATGACATTCTCTAGTAATATTCATGTGCATATTCATACATAATGGAATACCGTTATAATGCTACATTTTGTTTTACCTTTGTTGAAGGAGTTGCTTTGTCTGCGGAATACTTGTATTGTCAAGCTTTTATAGATAAGTATACATATATGTATGTATATATGTATGAAAGAAAGTCTATCTATGTATTGGACTGGTTTTGTAATTCTTTATGGTATGTGACGAAGCAGACCTTTCTAAAAATGCTTTCTTAATGGAGTGATCTTACCAATAATTAACAGAATTGAACATATGAAATATATGAATATATGATATCTTAGAAAGATAAACATATCTAAAAACTAAACATGTTTGTATTATTGACTATGTGTTTATTAAATAAAAGCCTTTTTTGGATTTCTTAATTCAGCCTATTATTATAGAAAATTAATTTAAGTAAAAAATTAAGTTAAATTTTCTAATAGCGATCGCCCCTCGGCAGGAAATGCCAACTCCTCCGA